CTCTGCAGCAGGTCCTGCTGTCCTACTGGGGTTGACTTCTGCTGTGGCTGATGCCAGTTTGGGAGCTTGGCCCTTACCAGCACTTGAGGTATAAAGTATTGGAGCCAGAGGTTACTGGAAGAGGGGGAGACTTGCAAAATAACAGTCCGAGAACAGGCTTGTCTCACCAGCTGCATTCACTGCCAGAGGATGAAATCCCAGCTCCATTGAAGCTGGTGGGAGTGTTGCCACAGGCTCAGCTGGAGCTGGGATTTCAGCCTGGTGTTTGTGAGTGCCTGAAATTCAGAGATGCTGCTGCCCAGGGGAGTATGTGAGCTGTGTGGAAACACAAGGGATAAGTGAATGATGATGATGATAATAATATCTACCACTGGTAAAAGTTGCATTGATTCAGTGATTCATCTGGAGTTTAATTGTTATATTTAAAAAGTGAGACCATATGGAAAATATCCCTCAGTGAGCTGAGGGTGGGACGGGTTGGAGTAGTGGTGTGCTCATAATGAGCTGGAGCTGAGCGTGCTGTCTTCAGCCTGACCTCTCCACATAAGCATGTTGGTTCTGAGTGTTCGCATTGGCCACAGCTGGTCCCAGAGAATTTTGTTCTTTGTCAAGCCCTGCCTCATCCCTGGTGTCAGAGGTATGCTATTTGGATATGTGTGTGAGCCTTCTGGGGCTGCCAGCATTGTCCTCACTGGAGAATGGATGAGGTGAACAGCCGAAGAGAGGAAAAAATGAGGCTTACCCTGATCTACTGGCCAAGATGTCAGATCAACCCAAACAACACTTTTCTGATGTCTTGTAAAGGTTTAGGAATTGCCTTCTCCCTTTTCCTGACGCACTGGTGAGTGTCCATTCCAACCCAGTGCTCCCTTGGGTATGGAGCTGGCCTCGTTCAGGTCGGAATTCCAGGGGTTTGGAAGGTCCCTGTTCCCAGCAGCTCAGCAGAAGTGCTCCTGAGAATTGCTTCCTCTCAGGGTGCAGCATGAGCTGCCTAAGCTGACCTAAAATCTTAGTGATTTTTTCCAATTCCTCACCTAATTTCCTTCATGTTGAGTTTACTTCAATTTACCCTATGCTGATACTCTTTCTTCAGTTGTAAAGTGCTCCATTCTTGGGTCTGCTTCCAGCTGTTGTTTTCCTGCACTGCCTGTGGAGCAGCTCTGGCAAGATTTTGGGTGGGGTTTTTTGTTGTCCCACTCCCCGCCCCATTTTTAAAAGTCTTGCCATTCATTTACAAACCTGCCAAAGAGTGAATGTTGCTCATCTCTGCTGTCTGTGTCACTCGGGTACCAGTTGGCTGCTGGTGGTAGGAGATCCTGCAGTGGGTTCATCCTCACACAGGGATGATGCTCTGTGTCATGGGGCTGGCTGTGGCTGTCACACTCTGCAACCCCTCTGGTGCTCAGAAGCCTTTCACTAGGTTTCAGAGGCATATGAACATTCCTGAGAGTCCTTGACTAAGGGACTTTGCCATACCTTGGCAGTGTGATTGCTGCCAACATCTCACGTGCTGACCCGGTGTGTGGAGGGCTAAGGGCTGTGATATAGGCTGGTTGACTTGAAAATATCATAAAAGCCAAATCCCCAGATGTTCTGCTTATGGATGTTCCCTCCCTTGTCTGGAATAGCTGTCCCACAGCCCATCTTGAGTGTTGCTGCTCTCCTTGGTTTGCCAAGGAGTTTTGTTTTCTCCAGCATCCCTGCTGCTGTTTCAGAAGAGCTGAGGGAATCACATTGCCTGCGTTTCCTACCCCGATTCTGCATTTTAAATAACAGGACCGCTCAGGGTGGAAGCTCCTTTCTCACTTTGGCAAAAGTTAAAGTTTTTTAGGGTTGGGAACTGAAGAGATAATTATCTAACGTGGAAAACATAATTGGCACTTGGTTGAAGGTTGGAATTGCAGGCCTGTGAATTCCCCCATGACAGTCAGGATGGATGCAGCTCTTGCTGATGCTGCTGGCCAGGAGATTGCTGGTGAAGAGGGTGTGTGTTTCAGTCTGGATTGTCAGATGCCACGCTGGGTGGTAGCAGAGGTGTGTTGGGTTTGGGTTCGCTGGGGACCTGTTTGCTCCATCCCTGGTTTGCTGGTGATACGCTCTCTCTGTCCTCAGTCTGCTAGGGACTGTGCTCTCCATCCCTGGTGCCTGGGCAGGCTGGGTTGGAGGCAGAGGAGGAGGACTGAGGGTGTTGGGATCACACAGCTCAAGGTGGCTGGTGTCCAGCTCCACTGCGCAGGCGGCAGGAGATGGACGTGCTCCGAGTGCTCCTGCCCGTTCCCTAGGCAGCAGGAGTGAAGGGCGGAAAAAGGCTTTGCTGCCTGCCTGTGTTTGTCCCTGGCTATCTGAAAAAGGATTCAGCAGAGGAGGGGGCTGTGAAATGCTGCAGCAGAGCACAGGGGAAAGCAGGGCAGTGACTGCAGGTGCTGTCAGGGCTGTGTCCTGTGAGGGATCCCTGGAGCACTGAGCAATGTCCTTCTCTCTGCTATCGCCCTGTCTTTGCATTGATGATGCCAACAGCCTCTCATTCTGCTTTCTGTACAGTCCTTTCCCACTGGGCATGCAGCAGCAGCTAGGGTCAGTGCCCATCTGCACTGTTGGTGTGACAGCTCGTCGCTGCGTGGCTTTAGGGTCACGGCTGGCAGGGTCCCCGTGCCCGCAGAGCCTGCCCTTTGCCTCCCTGCACTGGGGTGACACTGGCCTGGCTGAACTCCTGCAAGGATACTTAGAAGTGTCAAAACAACACATTACGGGTACGGGAAAACCAAAGGAATTCGTTGACGAAGGTCAAAGTGTGGCAGGGATGGACAGAGCTGGACCCCAGCAAAGTGGGGAGGGAGAGGGTAAAGACTGAGGCACTCTGACCCCTGTTGTTGTGAAACCTTGTTTGCAATGACAATTTCATTTCCTTTTCCCCATTCTTTAGCAGCCACGTTTGTTTATTTTGGAAAGTATTTCTGGTGTTCCCAATGAAGTGGAATTGTCCTTTCTTCTGGGGTTGCTGCAGCTCGCTGGGAGTCAGGGCTGATGTCTGTGTGTAGCAGATGTCCCTGGTCCCAGGGGAGCCCTGGCCAGGCAGAGGCAGCAGTTGTGCTGAGCATCCCTGTGTGCCTCACCCTTTCTCCTCTGCCTGAGGCCTTGGTCCTTCTGGCTCCTGTGTCAGCATCCTCATGGCTGAAGATGGGAGGGATGTAGGTCAGAAATGAGCTGGAGTGCTCTGGCACTGCAGAGTTGGTTCCCTGGGTATCCAAACAGACTTCAGGAGCTTTGCTGGTGGCCAGGCACCATGTACTGAGTCCCTCCCCATGTCCGTGTGAGCCTCAGGTGCATTTTTATGAACAATTTTGCTTTCAGGAACATAAAATGCTGGAAGGCAGCACCCACGGAGGGTCCCACATAAGGTGACTGGAGCTTTCAGCATTCCCTATTTCTGAGGAGCTTAGCTGAGGGTTCGATTGCAGGGGAGAAAGCAAAGACCCTGAAGGAGAGCACGTGCAGGTGCTGCTCCAGCTCAGCTGTGCCCAGCTGCCTCCTGTGGGGCTGTGTGGCAGTGAGGGGCTGTGGGCTGCCCTCCCCTCTCCCCGTGGGCTCTGGGAACAGGCAGCACATGGACCTGTTCCATCAGCCAACCCCAGCGATTCCGACTCCTCTCATCCCTCCGCCACGCAGCTGCCCCCCTGGAGCCAGCTCAGCCCAATTGTTCTCCCTCTGAATAGATTTTCCTACCATCTAGTCTCATTTTTCCTCCAGTTTCCAGCTCTGCACACCCCCTCCCACAGGGCTCCGTGTCCCTCAGGGCAGAGCCCAGCTGCTGCTCCATGCCAGCGAGCGGTTCCTGCGCAGGCGTCCTGGCCTTGAGCTTCAGAGAGCTGCAGGAACCCTGCCCAGGCTTGGGAAGGGTTGGGAAGGTGCATTTCCATCGTACCTTGTGCTGCAGGTGCTGCACTGTAGACAGGGCAGGGGGTCTGACTGTGCCCATGAGCAGCATTCCCTTCCCCAGTACCTGTCTGTCTTCCCGGGATCAGTCCCGTGTCAGGGATTTGCAGCCTCAGCTGTGTGACATGATATGGGGGAGCTGGAAAAAGTACAACTGGTCTTTGACTGTGGGAGAGAAGTGTCCTCAAAGTGGGGTGGATCAAGGTGAAAGCTTTAGCTCTGGTGTTGAAAGAGAAACGTTAGAGTGTTCCAGTGGTTGGGATGTGCTGAACAGGAGTGTGCTGTGCCTGAGGCTGTGGGTTCTGGCAGTGCCAGGTGAGGGGCAGCACTGGAGATCAGCTCTGTTGGCTGTTCCTGGGGTGCCTGTTCCCTGCAGGACACAGTGGGGTCCCAGGATGCTGCCAGAGGTGTCCATCCTTGCACCCACACAGGCACCTCTGGGTGCTGCTGAGCCCCTCCAGCAAAGGTCATGGGAGGCTGCAGCATGTCTGTGCTGGTGTCTGAAGGTCCTTTGGGAAAGCAAATAAACCTGGAGCAGATGAGGCCTGTGGAGTCTGAGCTGGGATTTGGAGGGTCCAAAAGACTTTTCAGGCCTTTGAGCCAAGTCTGGTTGGGTTTGCTGGTTAACCTGGCAGTGCAGGGGGACAGGGTGAGAGGAGGATGCACGGCAGTGCCAGCTTCCTTCAGGTCAGTGCCAGCTGTCCCATAGGGATTCACATGGGATTTACCAAGAAATCATGTGGTATTTTTAGGCAAAGAGTACAGGACCTCAGGTGGGGCCAGACAGATCGAAGTATTGGTTTCTGGTTTCAGAAAAGCAGTTGAAAGCTCTGAGGTTGCTCTCTGTTCTTACACAAGCAGTTTGTTTTGACAAGAACAAGGTTTCCTGTGAGGCTGGTCAATGGAATTCTTCAGCTTTTTCTCGGGAAGCAAATCCATTGGCTTTAGCAAGTCCTGAATTCACCCCGGGGCTTGGAGGGAGCTCCAGCAGAGCTGTGCCGTTCGCTTTGGGACGAGGAGGGACAACCCTCCTGGCCAGTGACTGATGCTGTTCTCTCTGTGCCTGCAGAAATCCGAACGCAGCTGGTGGAGCAGTTCAAATGCCTGGAGCAGCAGTCGGAGTCTCGCCTGCAGCTGCTGCAGGACCTGCAGGAGTTCTTCCGCAGGAAGGCCGAGATCGAGCTGGAGTACTCCCGCAGCCTGGAGAAGTTGGCTGAGCGCTTCTCTTCCAAGATCCGCAGCTCAAGAGAGCACCAATTCAAGTAAGCCAGCGTTCCCAGGGCAGACTGATGCCAAGTGGTGGGCACTGGAGCACTGGGGGTTGGTTTGTAGCTGCACAGCCCTAAAGTGGAGTAAAGGACTTCACATCAGTGGTGACCTTGTCTGTCTCATCACCATATGGGGCTCACCAGGAGAACTAGACATGTCTCTTCCCAAGGCTTCCACCACTGCAGTACTGACCTGTGCTGCCCAAGTTACACTTAGTGTGCACTTCTTGAGCAATGCAATAAAAACAGCAATCAGGGACTAGGAAGGAGCCAAACCCCTTGATTAGTGAAGAGGCTCTAACTCAGCCACTGGTTTGGTTGTGCAGGTAGTGGTGGGCCTGGTCTGCACCCCTTGGTTTCTGCAGCCCAGTCCTCAGCTGTTGGGGTGCTGTGCCTTGCACACAGCCCTGCTGACAGGCTCGGGCTTGGAAGCAGTTTCTGGAAGTGGAATTTACTGCAGTTTATTTGCAATGAAGTATGTGTGTTTTCTGTGCACAGCCATACGGTGTTGGAGCCAGGCAAATCCTTAGTGGAAATATTGTGAAACAAAGCTTTGGAATAGGGAGTATGAACTGGATGCTGGGATTGTGTGAGAATCAAACTGATGATGAAAATTGTGAAATCCATGAATGTGTGAATATGTGTTTTCAAAAGCAGCTTCTTTTCAGTTTCACCACACTCTCGAGCTTGGTTAAAAGAGAAAATATCCAAAAGCAAGAGAAAGGAAAACAAATTGGAGGCAGAATTTCAGTCTGGAGGTGACTGCTCTGTGGTGAGGTTGCTGGTGTGTGCTGCTCCCCTGACTGGTGACCTCAAGGCCCCAGTAAAGGCCACTACCCTGTCGCTGTTGGGGTGCTGGTTGTGAGTGTGCCAGGGCAGAGGTGCTGCTGGGGTTTGTGGTGTCAGAGTCTCTCAGCTGGAATTGTGCCCTTTGCTCTGAATGAAACTCATGTCATTCAGTTCAGTGGCCAAAGGCTGCAGCCACTATTGAGTGCCTGTCCCAGAGAACTTGGGGTTTGCTGCCTCTGCCCTTTGCCACACCAGCCCCAGGCTCTTCACAGTCTGTTTCTTCCCCTAACCCCTTGTGGGCTTTTTCCTGTTTCAGCTGCAAGAGCAGCAATTTCTGCTGTTACATTACTAAATCCTATTTATTCCATATTACTAAATCCCATTTAATCTGTTTACTTGGTCTCTCCAGCGAGTGAGGCTTTGCTGCTGTCTTGTGCCTATCTGCACTGGTGATGAGTTGCCATTGAGATTCTCTCTGTCCTCGTGGCATCCAGCTGTTCCATGCTGGTTGTGCATTGTGGTGCTGTGTGTTGGGGAATAGCTGTCCTGGGGAAGGAGCTCTGGTTTGGAGATGGAGCCCACAGAGGCTCAGGAGGTGTCTGACCTCTCCCTTTAGCTCAGGGCTCTCTCTTGGTGTGCTTACGGTTCTGGAAGCTGCTGCTGTACAGTGTCCACAGGTGACAGAGGTTCTCTACCTTTCTAAAGCACCTGGGCACAAGTGCTGGTGGTGATGGTGTTAATCAGGTCAGCTGGATTTCAGTGCTCACTCCTGCTGAGTCCCCACTGTCCATTCCATGCTGAGAGACTCCCTTAATACATCTTTTTCCTCCAGGCTGCTCTGTACCTGCCCTCACCAGGCTCATCCGTGCTGCTTCCCCAGCTGCTCACACATGTCATTATTCTGATGAGGTTGTGACACTCATAAGAATTATGTGCCTTCAGTGCTGCTTTGTCCCCAAGTAGCCATGTGCAGCAGGCTGTGTCCAGCCCTGGGTTTGGCAATCTTGGTGGTTCCAGGTTCACAGACTCATCCCTGCAGAGTTCTATGCGTGGTGGTTGTGTCTGTGTGTGCTCTCAGAGCTGTCTGGGAGTCACTGTGCTGTGCCCTCCAGCAAAATGAGCGTGCTCATGTTGTGCACAGACACTTTGAAGTAACTTTGGGTGCAGAACCCTTTCTCGAGCACTTTTTAGTGAGCCAAGAGCAGCACAGTGGATTGAGTAGAGTGACAGCCATGTTCATAGTGTGAGTGGAAAGAGCGAGCAAAACTCTCTCCCTTGCCAGGGATGTCTCTTCTCCTGTACTATCTTCCAGAGCACCCAGTTCAGAAGGGGCTAACTGGGGGCCTGATGTGGTCCATGTGCCACTGGACATCCCTGCAGGGCAGCACTGGAACAGCTGGAAGAGGAGGTCACACCTTTCTCAGGGCACGATGGATCCCAGTGGATGTGTGCAGGGAGGGAGATGTCAATGTGCTGACAGCACTCATTTGGAAATTATGTGCCTCTGACTTGTTCACTTGACCTCTTTGAATTTTTCCCCCAATTCCCTAGGAAAGATCAGCACCTCCTTTCCCCTGTGAACTGCTGGTACCTGGTGCTGACGCAGACCCGGCGGGAGAGCCGAGACCATGCCACCCTCAACGACATCTTCATGAACAATGTCATCGTGAGGCTGTCACAGATCAGTGAGGATGTCATCAGGCTCTTTAAAAAGGTAACCTGGGCAGCTGTGTGGAGTCCTGGCATCTTAGTCTAAAACTGAATTGCCATAGATGTTGCAGAGCAAATCGTTGATTAGAAACACACACAGTGTGTTAAGAGGTCGGAATGGACCTTAGAGATCATCCTTCCCAACCCTCTGCCCTGGGCAGAGACACCTCCTACCAGAGCAGGTTGCTCAGGTCTTCATCCAACCTGGCTTTGAACACTGCTAGAGTTGGGGCAAATCTTTTCACTGTAAGTCTTTCATGGTTATAGTGATCCAAGAGTTTTAAAGAAAGTGAGACCTAGAACTGTCAAGTGATGCACAGTGAGGTGTGACCTGGTGCTCAAAGTGGTGTTGGTGCCAGATAGATGAAAGGTGAAAACATGGTGACTTTTTGTAAAGAGCCTTGGGAGGGCTCCAGAGAACAGGTCAGAACGGGCTGGTTGGGTGGAACCTTGGTAAGGAGCAGCATGACAGGCATGAGGCAGTACCAGAGAGGAGTCAGTGTGGCTTCCTGAAGGGAAGAGTCATGCCTCAGAAGTCTGGTGGAGGTATTTCCACGAGCCAGAGATCATGTCAGTAGCTGGCACTGCCTTCAGTGGAAAAGGGCCATTGCTGGAATTCTTGAAGAGCTACTGAAGAGTAAGGAGTGGTTGGTTTTGGATCAATAACTCTTTAAAAGACAGGGAACAAAAGGAAGAAGAATTTCAGTGCATTTCCTAATAAATTTTTTGGGAAAAGGGTGAATAGTAAGATGACAAAGTCTGCAGATGATAGAGAATTATTAATGATAACCAAATTAAAAGAAGCGTCAAAGTCTTGCAGGAATCTCACAGTCAGGTGGACCAGGACTCTTCACTAAAGTGAGGGGGAGTATGGTAAGGGCATGAAGAGTCCCAGCAGTTGAGTAGACTCTGTGGCTCTGAGGGTTTCCTTAATTTTTGTCCCTTGTTTCCAACAGGGGCAGGTGGGGATTGCAGTCGGGGGGAGCTTCAGAGTGCCTGTCTCTCCCACAGGAGAAGGCTCCTAATCCCTGCTTATCTTGAAATTTCAGCCTGACTAGAGAGTAAATTTCATATGATATTTTTATGGTCAATTTGCTCTAGTTTATAGATCTGACCTAGAAATTAAACCACAAGGTCAGGCTTGGGTTTGCTGATCTGATATGGGGCATCATCCCTTTTCCTGTCCTTCTGGCCTCCAGAAATTGGAGACATTTGGGAAATATCGGTTAGTTCAGTTCTAACTCTGTCTCAAAATCTCCCTCCCATTTGCATTTTGCTCTGAACCTGGTTTTGAGATGTGTGTTAAGACTATCCTTCTGCTTCCTCTGCCTGTGTGTGTGGATGGTGAGTCTCACTTGGAACCACAGGACAAATCCAGTCAGCATTCAAACAAGAGCAGAAATTGTTTGGAGGTCAGTCCTCAGCCAGGACAAGGTGATGAAGTATTTCACCCACTCAACAGATTTCTTTCTTTGTGTTTGGTTTTCCTCCATCTCCACCTCATTTTTGAACTCAAATTTCAACTTCTAAGGCTCAACACTTGGGTTCTGTAGGAGTGGTTGCTCCTTGTTTCCCCCTCCTCCATCTCCTGCCAGGAGAGCTGGCATGACTCTGCAGCCTACCAGAGCCAGCTCTGCATCCCAAGGAGTCATGGGGATCTGAGTTCACTGTGTTTGTCCCATGGACTTACCTGTCCCTGGGAATAATGCTCAGCTAAATCGTGGAAAAGGCCTATCTTGTGTCATCATTTGCCTTTCACGTGGTGCTGCCACTTTTGGGGATGTCCAGGCTGTTTGTTTTGCTCAGCCTATGGCACTCTGTGCCCAGAGGGATCTGAGACTGCACTTCCCACTTCGCAGGAGTGTTTGGGCACATGTGTGGGAATATGAGCATCCTGGTAAACAGGTTTTGAAGGCATCCATGTAGCCTTGCAGCATACGAGGTTGCTCAGAGGAGGGATCTTCCACTGTTCTGCCCTGTCTGGTTTGGAGTGTGATGAGTCAAGTGCTGGAAGCACTACTTGAGGGAGACTGTGCTGCACGGGGCTGTGGGCAGATAATCCAGCTCGGGAAGGGTTAAACCCCCACAGTGGTGGTTCAGCTGCTGGGTCTGCTGGAGGTTGCTCTTTGATGGTAAATTAGGGGAACATTTTTTTCCAGAGATGTCACTTCTAATTCCTCCCATCCAGAATTTATTAATGGGCTGTGACATGCTGCGGGGAGCAGGGGGAACTGGAGGTTTTGTGTTTCCTGCGTTCATTATGTAAATGTAAACAATCCCGGCACAGCAGCAGGGAGGGTCTCTGGGCTAGGGATGTGCATAGCTAAGGAGCATTGCTCAGCGAGGTGGGAATGTGCCAAGGGGGAGAGGATGAGCTTGGCAGCAGTGGGGTTGTCTGTCAGTAAATTGGGGAGCTGTGCTTTGCTCCTCTGCACCCGAAGTGTCCTGTCCCTGCACTGCCCAGCAGCCATGGTCCCAGTGTTTGGCTCCCACATGCCTCTTGCTGTGTCCATCTGGGAGCCCTTCCAACCCAAACCACTCTGTGAGGAAAGCAGGGGAAGAAAACTCAATTGGGCAGATTTTCCTGAAGCTTCCAGTGCAGGAGATGATGAAGGTGATGGTGTGGATGTTGCTAACAGGCAGTGATAAATGGAGATGCTGAGCTGTGTCACTGCAATCTGGCTCGATCTGCTGTCAGGATCAGTCTCTGTCACCATGAAATCTCACAGCACGTCCTGAGGATCTCATGGCAGGGCCAAACCTGGGCTGAGGACCTCATGGCAGGGCCAAACCTGGGCTGAGGATCCCATGGCAGGGCCAAACGGGGGCTGAAGGACTCATGACCAGGCAGGTGTTTGCTCCATCTTCCCATCTGCTGTGGTGGCAGGAAGGAAGTTTGATGCTTCTTCCGAGTATGGAATGCAGGAAATGATATGTTTGAGACAGAGCCTTGCTATGTCTGAAATAAGTGCTGTGGTATTCCCCAGTGTGGGATTTAATTGTATGCTGTGACAGTGAATTTAATTATGCCCCATGCTGTAGTGTCCGGGATGGAGGTTGGGTGAAGAAAGGTCTGTCTGGACAGAGCTCTTCTCTTTGTCTTTAGAATAAGCATTTGCCAGTCATCCGTGTTGCTGCTTCCGCTTACTTCATTGGCAGCAGCAGGAGTTTTAATAAACTGCTAACCATTGCTGTCCCAGTGAGCAGCTGTGGGTTTCAGGAGGAATGGGAGGCAAAAAACCAGTGGCTAAACTGGAGTTTGGGTTTTGTGGATGGTCCCAGGGAAGTGGAATGATGTTTGGTGTTGTCTTCCATAAGCAAACAGATGTGATTTCTGTCAGAGAAAGGGGAGGCAGCAGGGTCGGAGGATAGGTGAGTCCTTCAGCTGCTCATCTGCCTGTGGGTGGAAGAGGCTCCAGCATCCCCTGGTTGGACACTGCCCTCTGGGATGCTGGGAGACTCCTGATGGTGCTGGAGACCCTCTGTGTGCTGCAGTGTGGCTCTGGGTGTTGGTTTTATAGTGTCTGTAACCAAGTGGCTCTCTAAACATGGTCCCCACCTGTGGTCTCCCATGTTGCTGTGGCTCATGGAAGGACACACTGTAGTCAGCTGAGCTGGTTTGTGTTCCTCTGTTTAGGAGTCTAAAATTGGGTTTGAAAATTACAGCTTTGCTGCCTTGCCCTCTGCTGTACAGGAAATCTGGGGCAGAGGCAAGACCTGCAGCGGAGCCTGGGCCATGGCTCCTGCCACCAGCCCGTCCTGTCCTCCTCCAGCTTCAGGAAGTCTTGGTTTGGGGCCTGGGCTGGGACTGGTGGCAGCAGGGACAGCTGGAGGGGCTGTGTGTGACTCAGCTCCTGCAGGCTCTGTGCTCCTGTTTGCAGACCCTGACTGAAACAACTCGTGTTGGAATCACAGAATTGTTTAGGTTGGAAAAGCCTTCTGAGACCACTGAATCCAACTGTTCCCTCAGCACTGCCAAGGCCACCACTAACCATGTCCCCAAGTGCCACATCCACACAGCTTTTAAATCCCTCCAGGGATGGTGACTCCACCAGTGGCCTGAGCAAACTGGATTGTCCCACTGGCTGGAAATAGGGGCCCTCTCTGTGTCGTGGGCTTCTCTCACCCAGCCGGATGGGATGTTGTTTTCCCTGCCTGTGTGCACAAAAATGCCTGGACTTATTTGAGGGAGTCTGGAAGAAACTGCTCAGTTTTGCTTTGGTTTGGTTTCGGGAAGGGAGGAGGGGGTGACTATACTTAGTTTAAACACATCTCCAGGCTATAATGGGTGTTTCCTAGCCAAGAAGATTCCATGCAGAGATTTGGGGGTTAGCTGCAGGGAGGCAGGGAAGCAGTGTGTGTGCATCCCCAGCAGCTCCAGCTGCTGGGCTGCAGCAGGAGTTGGCTTGATGTGCAGCCAAGCTCCAGCTCTGGGCAGCTCCCCATGCCGTGGCCTCTCTGTGAAGTGCCGTGTCCGTGCTCTAGGAGGTTGGATCTGCCTCATCCTGCCTGGCAAGGGGAGGGAAAACAGACTGATAATGGGATTTCAGCAGACAGGAGGATGCCAGGAGTTCCTCACTGGCAGTGAGTATCTCCTCAGCTGGCTGAACTTTGGCTGCTGTAGCTGTGAAACTGGAAACTGCATTATATAACTGTGGTGTAGCTATTTTGTAATAAAATGTCCTTTTTGAGAGACACTTTGGTTCACTCAGGTCAGAATAGTGAAGATGAGCTACTGGGAACAAGTTGGGGAGGGAGGGTCATGGCCAAGGGACACCTAAAGCCTGGGATGCTGAGGCTGGGGAGTCCTGGTAACCTTTGCTCTGAAAGAACAAGGTTGACTAACAAGGTTGGCTGGAAATGGCAAGTCCAGCAGCAGGTGGATTTGATGAGTGTGCCAGGTCAAGACAGGTTGGCAGGTGATTCTGTGGGACTGGAGAATGCAAATCTAAGGGCTAAGCAGTATTGCCTATAATTCTAGATTCATCCCTCTAGATTCATCCCTTTTGCGGGATAACTAAGTTGTGTGAAGCTCCTCCTCGTGGTCTCTGAATCCCAAGTTGGGTGATCTATGGGCAAACATCAACTTCAAAGGAAAACAGCAGTTCTGAAACAGCATGAAGCTCTGCTGGACTGTGTGTTCCCGTGTATCATCCCTCCAAAATGCGTTTTCCTTTCAGAACTTCATGTTTTGAGCATAACAGAACCTCAACTCTCCTTTTGCCTTGCAGAGTAAGGAGATTGGCCTCCAGATGCATGAAGAACTCTTGAAAGTCACCAACGAGCTGTACACGGTGAGCAATGATCGCGCCGTGCCCGGCTGGCAGCGAGGGGAGGGCAGGGGTGTTGTTTGTTAGAATAAAGTGTCTGCTCAGCATGTCGGCGGCTCCAGGAGGCTGTTTCAGCCCTGGCTGTCCTGCAGCACAGCCTGTTCCTTCCTCACATCCATGAGGAGTGTTTTGCTCCTCACTGGGCTTGACAGTGATGGAGGGTTTCCCAACGAGCCAACGTGAAGGGCTGTGGCTGTGCCAGACACAGTGGGTCACACCTCCCAGCACTTCCCTGGAGCATAACTGGGATGTTTGGGAATGATCCCTGTGTCCCTAACACTCTCACCTACTGGGGCTTCCTCGCTGTGTTGCCTTTGGGCCCTGCTCAGTCACTCGTGGGTGGTTTCCCTGGCTCTGAGCTGGCTGTGCTTGTTTGTGGCTGACACCTACCCTGCTCCGCTGGCCTGGGGGCTGGCTGAACATCACCTTCTGCTGAGGAATGCAGAAAACCTTTAGCTCGTGGGTACTCAGCTCTGTCTCCTGCCCCAAGGAGCACTTTAGCCTCAGAACTGTCTGTGCCCCTCGGTGAGATCATGTGCTGTTGGTCAGGATGTGGCTCTTCAAGCAGGTTTTCATAGCAGGGCAGTAAAGGTCTTTGTGTTGCTTCTGTCTCTTGCCCTGTAGTGATTCCTTTTTTTTTTAAGTTTCATTTTATTTGTGGTTTAGGAGCAACAAAGCAATATAAAGTCTGTCTTGTGGTGGAAAACTGAGGCAATATATTTGCTTTCTTTGGATGTATCTCTTACTGGTACATAAATAACACTGCAGTAGGTTGATTCCTAAGCAATCATTCTAGTCCATCTCTTTGAAAAACAGGCCTAAACAACAAAGCATGAATGATTGTATTTGAAATTTCTGTCATAAATCTTCTCCTAACAGGTTTGTTCCTGCATTGGCTGTTGAAGGATTTGGCTGTTGTGAGACCTGCAGTGTGGGTGGACAGCAGATCGGATTAAAGAGCCTGTGTGAGATCTGGGAGTGTGTTGTGGATGGCTGAATGTCACAAGCTGTGTTAGGGGTGGTGACTAATTAAGATTAATTACAACAGCAGCATGACAGATGCCAAACAAGGAAAGACTAACAAGGGCTGGGCTGACCTTAATACCTGTGGACCAGTGTGCTCAGAGCCTGGACAAGGGACAGCACCTGAGGGACACGCTGGGATCAGTGTGCTGAGGTCCTGACATGTGAGCAGTGGCCGTGGAGGGCACAGAGGGTAATTCTGCACCCACTGGGGCTGGGACAAAACTCGTCCTCACAGGAGCTGAGATTTCACCCATTCACTGCTTTGCTCCGTGTGCTGAGCAGAGTGGGCTTGAATGTTGGAGCTCACTGGTTTGAATGGTGAAAAGCACTGCTTTGAATGCTGAAACTGCAGCAGCTGGAGGAGCTTTGTGTTTGTGTTCAGCCTTTGCTGCCTGGATAACAAACTGGTTGTGTTGTCCAGCAGGGAAGGAGCAGGGAAGGGACACACTGGCTGCAGAGATGGCACTGAGGCATGATGAAAAGGCAGTGCCTGAGGAGCAAACAGGGTCACCTCAAACCTGCTTGGTGCCAGCAGCTCCCCCAGGCAGAGTCCTGTCCTGGAGCCATCAGGTGCCATCAGCTGCAGCCCTGGCTCGGGGTGGCACTGAGCTGCTGTGGTGTGTTCAGTGCAGCACATTGGTGCTCATGAGCAGCACGAGAGCTGTGGCTGCTGACAGAACCAGGCACAGGCTAAGGGCCCTGGCTCACAGCACACCAGGCTGCTGCTGGAGAAATGTCACTTGCCTGCTGCCAGTCGCTTCTCTTGCCTCTGGCCAGGCCTTTCCCTGCAGCCATCCCTGGCCTGGCTGCTTTTTCAGCCTCTCAGAGGGGAATTCTGTGTGCTGGGTGGAAGCTGTAATTGTTTACAGGCTTCTCAGGCATTCACTGTCTCAAACTTAAGCCAAAACAACCAAATTGATTTTAACTCAGCCTTGTTGCTGTTCTGATGCAAGTCACCCTGTGGACTCTGTACGGAAAGAACTAAACCCAAACCCACACTGATTTTCATCAAAAAGGAAGTGGATGACTTTGGTTCTGAAGTGGAGATGCTTGTGAAAGGCTTAGCACAGAAATAGTTCAGCAGTGAATTAAAGCCAGCTCCATCCTTTTGGTACTGGCTTATGGGCTCCAGCACACCAAGTTGGAGCCCCTGAGGGCTGGAGGTTCAGGGGCCTGAGGCTGTGCCTGACATGGTCACCCTGTGTCTGCTTTGTCTTCTCTGCTGGGTCAGAACCTTGGGCATGAGTTGTTCCTGAGGACAAAGCCCCTGCAGCTGAAGGCAGCCATCAGTGCCATTTATGGCCAGTGTTTTGGCAACAGCCTTTATCCAGAACGTGTAATTAATATGGAAAACACAACTCATGTTGTTAAATAACTAATGAACATTGGAACATATTTTTCCTCCTCCGCTGCAGCTAATTAACTGATTTGCAGGAAAGCTCCTCGGGCCGCAGCTGTGGCAGTTTGTCTTTGTGACACAGCAGTGTGAGCCAGGGACGGCGTGACTCGACTGCAGGCTGCGAGCGGCACGGGGGAATTGTGGCTCCGGCGCTGATCGCTGCACTGCAGCTCGGCCCAGCCTCAGTTAGGGCAGATATCAAGCAGAAATATCCCCTGAATTTCCAGGCGTGAACTGTGTGGTGTGGCAGCTGGTGAGGTGCACTGTTTAAGGTGTCTGTTTTGCTTGGGTGACTATCCCAACTCCCAGAATTTCACTCAAGCCCTGCAATATCACCTGTGTTACTCATTGGGCTTCTCTGCGGTGCTGTGCCTGATGCTCTGGTGTGCAGGACTTTGCTTATCACTTCCCTCTGAGTGTTTTACAAAGAGATGAAGACAGTGAGGATGAGGAGGGCTCAGGGAAGGCCTCTGTTCTCTCTCCTTAGGGAAATCCCAGGAATTGTCTGTTTTGTGAGCATCCCGTGGCTCTCCCTGCAGATGCTGCAGTCTGAGATACGTGGCTGGAATCTGCGTTAGGGTTTGCAGGGTTTGGAGTGAAGCAGCTCAGGGCCAGGGCAGGAGCCTGTGCCCACTGATCCTTGCAGCCCATCTCCCCACAGTGGCACGTTTGTGCGGCTCCAATGCGGCACTCGGAGCCTGTTTGAGCTGAGGATTGTGCTTGGCAGGAGGAGGGATCATGCGGGTCAGCCTGAGCTGCTCCAAGTCAAACACTTGGGTCCTGCTGACAGCCACAGCTCAGGGAAACTCTGTGTTTTCTGCATTAAGCCTTGTGTAAAATTACTCTGCTTTTGTGAGTTCCTGCTCTGTTTTAACCCCTGGGCCTCAGGCAGTCTGTCCTAGCCTGTCCCGGTGTGTCCCAGCATGTCCCAGTGTGTCCCAGTGTCTTCCAGCATGTCCCAGTGTGTCACAGCACATCCTAACCCATCCCAGCCTGTCCCAGAGTGTCCTAGCCTGTCCCAGTGTGTCCCATCCCAACCTGTCCCAGTGTGTCCCAGCATGTCCCAATGTGTCACAGCACATCCTAACCCATCCTAGCCTGTCCCAGTGTGTCCCATCCCAACCTGTCCCAGTGTGTCCCAGCATGTCCCAGTGTGTCACAGCACGTCCTAACCCATCCCAGCCTGTCCCAGAGTGTCCCAGCCCTGCGTGATGCTGATGCCAGGGAGCAGTTGGGCACTGCAGGCTGTGTCAAGGCGATGTGAAGTAAACCATCCACATCCCGCGGGAGGTGATGGAAGGGGACAGTGTGACTAAAGGCATAAAGGGAGAGGAGCAGATGTGTTCCTCGTGCCAGCTCCACTGAAGTGATCCCAGTGTGCCCTTTGGGCCCTGCTTTCTCAAAGGGAAGGCTGTGGCTGAGGATCTGCCTGCAGAGTGTTCCTGGCAGTGGCTCACGTCAGCCCTCCTGGATCTGACTGTGAAGGACAAGGTGCTGCTGCATCCACCCCAGCACTGACTGTGCCTGCTGGCAGCAGCAAGGGCAGGATGAGGTGGTGACAGGAGACAAACCCGTTTCTGCCGGGGAGGATGGTTCTGCTGTCAGGGTGGCCGAGCAGGGGCTGTGTGATGGCTTACCAAGGCCAAGGGTAGGAATGGAGGGGTTGGGTTAAAAGGGAGCTCATGTTGACTGAGGCCTCCTCACAGTGACCTGTCATGGAGACCCTTGTCCCAGCTGCAGAGCACTGGAGGTTATTGCTTGTTTCCCTGTTGGCAGACACATGATGATCTTTGGCTGCAGGTGTGTGCTGGGGACACATCTCAGCCTGTGCCCACAGCAGGACTGAGTGGGATCATGGTCCTTTCCCCAGCCTGGAGCCATTGGAAGTAGGGATGGGGTTAATCTCACAGGCTTTTCCTCCCCACCTTGTTCCTTAATGCCCCAGTGGCCTCCACAGCCTCTTTCACTGCCCAGGGCTGCTGGATTTTCCTGCTCTGGTGTTCTGTGTGGCTCCAGGGCAGGTGGCTCATGACCTCCTGTGGTCACAGGTGATGAAGACCTACCACATGTACCACGCAGAGAGCATCAGTGCTGAGAGCAAGCTGAAGGAGGCAGAGAAGCAGGAGGAAAAGCAGTTCAACAAGTCAGGGGACATCAGTGTGAACCTGCTGCGGCACGAGGACCGACCTCAGCGGCGCAGCTCTGTCAAGAAGATCGAGAAGATGAAGGAGAAGGTGGGTGAGAGGGAAGGAGTGGGGAGCCAGGCTGGGTCAGGGCTCCCTGAGGCAGGGAGTTGCCTCCAGACATGTCCATGTCCTTGCAGCCATCCCTGTATCTGTGGAAAATGGGTAGGGAGGGTATTGACCTGTATGGGAGTGCATGGGGGGTCTGGCTGGGCATGGTGATGCATCCTGATCCAGACACAACCCTGGTGTGGGGTCTGAGGTTTGTCTGTGATGTGTTCTTTTAAAAAGCACTTTTAACAATGAACAACTGCAGCCCCAGGGTTCACAGACTCCTGGCAGCAAGAAAAGGGTTGGATGTATAAAACACCAGTGTTGTCCCTGCACAGACTGTCTGGGAGGGAAAGTGCAGCATTTAAGGCAAAACAGTCCAGCCTCAGCAAATCCCCACAGGCCTCAGAATCTCCACAACTACTGTAGTTTTTGTGTTAATTCTGGAGAAAAAGCAGTAGATTTCCCAGCCAGGCTGTGTTTGCTCGCAGGATGACCCAGCCCTGTGATGTTTCTAGCAGTGAACTTCTGGGAAGGGTTAATCTTTTGACTCAGCCTTTGGAGCAGGGATCTGCCTGAGCAGATGCTCTGGATCTGGAGCACATCTGCTTTCCTACAGAGTTTTGAATTCTGGATTCTCTTCTAAATTGTGTAGCTTGGGCCTCTGGGCCAGATTCCACTTTGATACAGCTGCACACATCTGGAGCAAGTCCAAATGTATGTCAGCGTTTCTGGGTGGAAAATTTGTCCCTCTGATTTTGAGTGATGCCAAAACCCCCATGACTGCACAGCTGAAGGAGCAGCAGCTGTGCTCAGGGGGCTCTGGATGCTTCTGAGCAGGACATGCTCATGCACTGATTGGTGGTGCCAGGGGGCTCTGGATGCTTCTGAGCAGGACACGCTCGTGCACTGACTGGTGGTGCCAGGGATGCTCAGTGGGATCTCCTCCACCCTGGCAAGGTCCTTGTTTTGATACCAGATCCCGAGTGTTAGTAATTCCCTCACCACTCCCAGGCTGCAGGGTGCTGCGGGGCCCTGCAGCAGTGCCAGTACCATCCTGTTTGTGCTCTGACACCCCATTCTGCTTTTCCAGAGACAAGCCAAGTATTCTGAGAACAAGCTGAAGTGT